TTTTTTAAATGGTCAGTGATTCTTTAGTATGAACTATAGGTACTAATATGAGGAATCGTATATTAAAGTTCTAATACTTAGGTAGCTATAAAAAATTAACATTTTATAAATTTTTAACTAAAAATTAACTATGACTCTGTCAAAATTTGAACTTTAAATGCTTATAAAAAATAATATTGTGTTTTACCAAACAATTTTTATAAATGTAAGTAAAAATGTAATAATTTAAATTTTAACAAATTTTCGTATTATTCCAATTATTTTACTCATTATTATTGGGATTGTTTAATTTTGACCTCCCAAAAATTACTGGGTCAAATTTTCTACCAAAAACTCCCATCAAAGTTAATAATCTGTTGAGCATTTTTTTACTAGAAATATCTTTCAATAATTATTAGATTGGACAAAATAAAATTSTAATTATATTCATTTGCAAGCCTCCTTCCATTAAAATATCCAGCGAACTTAAGCCAAACTTGATAGGTAGTTCGTAGATACACCGCGCTATATATAACATATAACTATATATATATATATATATATATGATACAGAATCGTGCTAATATAGAGAAAAACAAAGGTGACAAGTCCCTAGTTCTCTTTCCCCATTAATCCTTGTGATTAATTAAAAAAATATGAATTAAGACCGAGTTTTGAAAAAATAAATCAAAAGATCACAATTGACGTATGATCATTATTTACTATATATATATATATAATATGTACCTTTAATAATGCATTAAAAACGTTTAAAATTAATTTATATAATTATATCCTTGCACAAAATCAAATAAACAATATTACAGTCTWACCTCCATTTTTAGTATGTATTCATAAGGTGGTGGATACGTAAGGCCCCAGTGGTAATTGGCCTTCACCATGTCTTCAACCTCCAAAACAATGTCTGAGTACTCAGACGCTGTAATGAATGAATAAAGAATGCTGGAAAACGAAGTAGACATGATGAATATAAACATGCACCACCAACTGATCAAATGTCTAATAGGTCCCATTCTATAAGTACGTGGATTGTTAGTCAACAACATCATTCCGATAATCCAAAAAATGGTCGCTGATAACGAAGTAAATGCTATAAAACAGTTTTATACATTTTATAAATAAAACGTACATTTGAAACATAAAAATAATAATATCTTATAATAGTAGGTATATACATTTTTCTTTCGTAAGATCCGTTTGTAAATAAATCTATTTACATACAAGAAAAATATTATTTGATGGGTATTTAAACATTTAATCTCAAACTGAAGATCCATATTCATTCGTATA